TTACTAGAATTTAATATCTAAATTGAATCACTAAATTCTAATTTAGTTTCGAAGTTCACCAAATAGTCATCAGTCATTTGTCAAATTTAGTCATACTGGAAAACATATATGCCACGTAGCTGCTATTATGTGATTGTAAACTATGAAGTGTGAGACAGGTTGAAAAAGGGTGGGTGATGAAATGTAACAGATGGTGAAATTTAAAGCTAAATGGAAGAACGATAACAGAATTAAATGAGTGAATGGTACATGAACTTTACTCCATCTACCAAAATAATACATGAATTCAACTTTATATTCCATCCATACATGGATTAAATCCTGTCAATTAAAGCTAACGAAATAATCCATGTGATAATGAAAAACAGACACTTAACATGTCAATTGTGTGAATGGTACATGAAAGTCATCCATTGTATCAAAACCATACATGAACTCAACGAGATCAAACATGTACATAAAAATTTGTATATATGAGTCAATTTCAATATATCAAAATTAATGAAACAGTCCACGTTATTTAAATTGAACTTTTAAAATGTTAAATGTTCCCTCAATATTTTTTTAGAAGAAAATGATCCTTAAATCTTTTTGAAGAATGTTATGTTCTTTTGAAATTAAATGCAATTTAAAATGACATGATTTGGTGAAGTCAAGTGTTCACCATGTCATTTTCATGTTTGTCAGAAAAAGTTAATTCTATATGGATAAGATAAAAAATTTTATAATTTCGATTCAAACAAGAGTTCATGCATGGTATAGACCGTGTAGTTCATGTTTATTAACTTCCCGTGGTATCATTACCTCATAGGCACTTCGTTTGCCCGATGAATTATTCTGTTAGTTTTGACTCATTCATGTTCAGATGGATTACAAAATTGTGAATCTATGTATGATTTTGATATAAAACTGAGTTGTGATAAAGTTTATGTACGGTTCGAGCATTTAACCTTTCCACAAGACAACGAAGATAAATTAAAGTTGTCTCCAATAGAAATATGGCTTAAATTCCAATTTCTGCAGTTGAAACTTACCCAATTTCTACAGTAATTTTCCATTTCGCAAATTACCCTTTAGGGTCTGCTTAGGAGTTTTGGAGTATCCCTTTTTAAATTATCGATTTTCAACATTTATTAGCGAACCAATTCTGAAGGATTTAGTAATGATTTATAAAACAATTCAATCCATGTTTGGGAGTTTATTATTCACCGATTTTAAAAGTTTTTTTTAAAAATAAAATTATGGGGTGTCTGATGCACATTTTTGAGAAAATAATGCATTTTATGATGTGATATAATAGAAAATATGTGGTTAAAAAACTAAGGAAAAATTTTGAATTTGCGTGTAATATTATTTTATTGAAAAATGTATGGTTGAAAATGAATTTTAAAAGAATGAATTTTGAGAAGAATGTGGATCAAACAAGGCATATATATATTCCCCTTAGTGAAATCTTCAATTTATAACTATTGTTTGAATTTTGTAACTCATAAGTAATATTGTACTTATACGTAGTTTTTTTTTACATATAAATTACTATTTAACTTAAAACGTGAAATATTTATCTAAAATATTAAGTTAGTACTTTAATTTTACAATTATAAGTTAATTTTGTACTTTTAATAATTTTTACATATAAGTTAATTTTTTTACTTATAAGAAAATATTTAAATTTTATAAGTGAATTTTTTTTTCTTATTAGTGTTATTTTTTACTTCATAAACAATTTTATATATGAAAGTGATTTTTTATCTTATAAGTATATCTTTTAATCATAAAGTAATTTTTTGCTTATAAATAAAATTCTTGGCCAATTTATTTTTATTTACAAGTTAGTTTTGAATCAAATATGTCGATTGAAAATAATTATTTATATAAATTAGACTTTGAAGAGAATACGAGAAAATGTCAAAACCCATCGATTTGATGGATTGGAAAAAAAAAAAAAAAATTACACTACACTAATTTTGGATGATTTTTAAACCATTCAAATTGATTCAAAAAAAAAAAAGAAAAAGAACTAGCAAGTATCAATTTTTTTAACCTCTCATAACAGTGTCACCCAAAATTGTTCAAAACTGGTGAAAGAAAACTCCCAACCAGACCTTTGTTCTTCCTCCCAATTTTAACATCTTTGCTTTGCATAATTTTTTCCCCATCATTTCTAGTTTTTTTTTTATTTAATAAAGAACAATCTTGCTATATTGCCATAGAATTTTAACACTTTGGATAATATTATGACACATGATGTTACATAATTGAATTGGTTTAAAAACAGTCAACGACATCCAATCATTTTTTGCCACAACTTCATCTATCAACAAAGGTATTAAATTCCTCTAGAAAAACAGCATAATCCAATAAAGAATTAGCCTACATTAGTTTATTAAACGATACAACCTGACCTGATTACCAAGTCCAATGGACCATTAGAGACAACAACGTCGTAAAAAAAATAATAATAATAAATAAATAAAAACGCGTTGAGGATGAAATGCAACTTACCGTATAGAAAGATGACAAATGGTGCAATTTTACCAATAAGTGGATTAAAATATGGTAATTAAATTATATTCGCAATGACCATACTTTAATTTTGTTCAATTGAATAATTATATTTTTATTTGATTTCGAGTGAATAACTCCGTCCAATTCCTTTATTTGGACCTACAAGAATCAATGTGACAATAAAATAATGATGTACTATTCACCATTAGCAGCTAACAATTACGTTTGATGACCATCATTAATTGATGGCCAATCCATCAACTTCTATTGACGAAATAGGACAAAGTTGCCTTAATTGAAATCAAATGAAAGTGTAATTACCTGATTGAAACTAAATTAAAGTAGAGTTACTTACTTGAACAAAATTGAAGTACAATTACTTGATTAACACTAAATGAAAGTACATATCCTTGGTTTGGATAAAAAAGAAATTTTAGTAACATGTTGATAAAAATTGTAAATCCCCGTAATTAAAATGAATTTGAAGAAAAATTAATTTTAAGAAAGGGCTACTCACAAAAATACCATTGAAACTAGGGATGATTTGAAAAATCATATGAAAAGTTTTTTGAAAGTAAAAAATACTGAATAAAATGAAATGTCACTTTTTATAAAAATTGTTACTTTTTTTACTTTTTAAAAAAAGTAACACAAACTCAAAAAAAGTGACTCCAAAAAAGTGACACAAATTCAAAAAAAGTTAGTAATCATGTTCCAAGACAATCCACATGATGATTATGTTAGGCAAAAAAATATAACATATTATGCCACTTTTTTATCTTCTTAAAAAAGTGACATTAAAAAAAAGTGAAAAAAACTTAAAATGAGACAAAAAAAATAAAAAAAGTGACAAAATCTAAAAAAGTGATACAATGTCACTTTTAAAAGTTTAGTGTCACATTTTTATTAACAAATAACATACAATGTCCAACAACATCATAAAATTGATTCAATGCAAACACAATCATACAAACATATATCCTCTTTACTGAGGATAAAATTTTTTCTTGACACCACAGTGAAATAACATATAATCAGCAGACAATTTGTTTGAGCTATCTTATAATTTGTCTCTCAAAGCCCAAAATAAAGTCTAATTTTTTCTTCACAGACCCATCTCTCTCTCTCTCTCTCTAAATCAAGAAAATCCAACCTTACTCTCAGCAACCAATGCATACACACTTTTGTATCCATCTCCTTCACAAGCATTAAATACAAACAAAATGTGTGGAAGTGTAATTATTTTCGATGAAATCATAATCAACGAGAGGAAAATTAACCACAGAAGAATTGTATCTAAACCTGTCCAAACTACTCTCCGCCATCGTCCGCCGACTCCAGGATCCTGATTTTTCGGTCCGCTCTGCCTGCGTATCTGCTTTTCTCTCCCTCTCTTCACGTCTCACAGCGCCATCTTTTGCTTCCATTACCAAGCCATTCCTTGAATCTCTGTTCAAAGAACATGAATCTAATATTCAAACTGGTGCTGCTCTCAGTTTGGTATTAATAATCAAAGGATCACAAAGACTAGATTCCTGTAGCTTGAAACGCCTGTTACCGAGGTTCGAGAAGTTGGCAAAATTCGTTGAGATTTTGACGTATAATTTACGTTTGGAATTATTTAATTAGCTTAAAGTGTATTTTTCAATTTTGTTCCTTACGGGCCCGTATTGGGCCTAATTTCCCCTTTAAGAAATGGGGTCAAGCGTGGTCATATATTTACGGCGATTAGAATTTACCCAAAAATGGTGGAGCAATTGCAAACAACAAATTTACACCCAAAACATATAGAATGGACGGGAAGACAAAAAATTGGAAGTTGGGCTACAAAGAATGGTGGATTTTTTGGTTGTGACGTCAGTTGGGCTTTGGCCTATAACCAATTATCTTTTCGCCTATGAGGATGAGAAGATTCCTTTCCACCGACTATTTAAAATGTATTATAACAAAACAATTTATCTAAAGCATTGTATAGGTAATTTGTACAAGCCGTCGTTCTAATTCAAACGAGTGCTTATTCACTCACACACACTTCAACCAACATACACAAAGGGCATTCACACGTTCAACATCATCTTATTTTACCCTGCAATGCTGATGCTGCAAGGGGAAATATAATTAAACCAATGCCATTTTTCATCTCAAATAAAGGCGAAATATCACTTCCATGCATAGATAACATTGCTAATTTTTTTTTTCGTAAGAGTGCTCATAATTACACCCCGCTTGTATTTCTTTCCACTCCAAACTAAGTTTTCCTTTACTCCAACTAATCCTATAACATATATTATACGTATTAATCTTCTCGTAGTCTAGGTAACAGGACAATGAATGTCAGATGGGTTTGAATGCATAAAAAATGCTGTATTTTACTGGTTCACAATGAAGAAGCCACAAGACAAATGAAACACAACAAACAGATGGCGAACTGTGATAAACACGGGAACCAATGATAATGCAGGCAGACCTTTATTCCCAGTCAACAGATGGAATCAATTTCCCCGTGTCTTGGCTGCTTGAAGCATTTCAACTATGAGTGTCTTCACATCCCTAAAGAAGTTAGAAATGAAAAATGAGAAAAACATAATGAGAGTCACAATTGCAAGAAGTATTATGTTCTAAACGAAATAATAGAAATAACTACTGAGACATAATTATAGCAACAGCAATGCTCATCCACCATTCTTCACAGAATAGCTTTTCCCAATGTTCATATGCAAGGTATCTCAGTTGGCAAAATCCCAAAGTTCATATTCCCATTTCTCCATGAACATGGCCCGTTTCCATAGGTCCACATTATGATGATAGGAACCGGATATGTATGGATATCATTTACCATATATATGAAGCACTTTCAAATATTTTTATCATCAGCCAGAAAATTGATGACTCACTTTCTGTCCACTGCACATCTAGTAAACGGAATTCGAAGCTTGAATGTCTCTCCTTGGCAGCTAGCCTAAGGATAAAAAAATGATTTTGATATAAAACACTCAATAAAGTTTATAAAAATTGCCGTACGAGGGTAAAATTTCTGGGACAAAATTATCCGAGCAAAAATATCTTAAATAGGGATAAACATTAGACGAGACTGTCAGTATAACCTTCACATTGAAACCAAGACTGTCTACGTCCAACATGTAAGCAAAATCCACCTGAAAATTATTAAAATGGAACTTTATGAAATCTTCACCAGGTGTAAGAATAATTTAACAGAAACTTATGGATAAAAATATGCATATCACAAATGCAGGCAAATAATACAAACACATTTAAGGGAACGCTGCTCATCTTTATAATAACTTAAACTATGAAATTTGAGGCCAATCCTGAGTATATACTCTTAAAAAAGTTCTTGTACAAATTTCATGGTGATAATTTTGGGCTAAGAAGTTTCAGACAATGAATTAAAGACATTTAACAGCAGTACCTTCTATTAGAGTAGGATGCCCTGTGTAAAATAACCATTTATTTTTAATATTGATTATTGTACTTGTTTCCTAACAATCACATTTTACTTCTAGAGAATATTTTACCCACATTTACAATCTAGGCACTAGGAAAAGAACAACAAAGACCGAATAACACATTCCATATCTTGTATCAACAATTAGTAAACCTTATAAAATTAAAACTAAGTGGTTGAAACTTCCAAATGTCCCATATCCATCCAACTTTTCAGAAGATCAATTAGTTTAAGCTCCATAAGTAGTAGAATTACAAAATCACAGAAAAACCCTGCCCTGACATTTTGAAGGAAAGAACTTAAATTGAAATTCTTAATATTACCGGTATCGACAGAGAGTGCTGCACAATCTGCTTTGTATCCTCTGTATGATCCTTATTCATGTGGGACTGAAGAAAAAGAAAAAGAAAGTCAGTAAAACCTAGAAATGATGAAGACCAAAGAAAATCAACAAAGAAAGTGCAATGCATATGCATTTTGTGTCCTTGACATACAGTTATAGGCTTTGAAAACTGAAATATGGGATCCACTTTGGCAGTTCTAAACTCCTCCTTGCTGAATTCTGCAAATATTTGAAAGGAAATAAGCAGCTACGAATTATTTGAACAGAACATACAACGACAAAAACCGGTTTACATATCACAGGGCCCAACTTTGTTCCTCTACAAGTGACTACCAAAGTGCGTGGGTAAGAGAAAAAGGCAGGACATGGATAAGAAACATGGAATAAAAGTGAAGGAAAAATGGTAGATAATAGACAAACCTCCCGACCCCAACAAAGCTGTCGCAACACCTGTGACATATCGTACAACTTTGGGTTCAATGCGCAGGAATTGGAAGTCACCAAAGTCGACCTTCACAAAGATTTGTCTCATTACTACAACTAAAAAATAATAATACATCACGCATACAGGACTAAAGCCATGAAACACAAACAAACTTGACAATGAAGAAGTTGAAGCTCACCCAAAATGCATTGGGATGCTTAGCCAAATATGCAGAGCGAACAGCATCTCTTTCGATCTCATCGACCTATAACAAGTAATATAAAGTTCCATATCAGATGCCGCAGGTATAGAACAGAAGATCAGTAGAATAATGCATGACCACATGGAACTTGCATTTAGACGTCACGAAAACTGGATGAGAGCATTGTCTAAAAATTGAAGAAAAAGCAATGCTTACTGGAGTTGCATCGCCGTGTACTGTAATAACTAAGTCGGACCTATCCTCTGGATCTTTTGCGACAAGCAGTGAGCATTTGGGATTAGCTAACAGGTCCTGCATCAATTAGCAACGTTCAAAATTAGAATATATATAGAGGAGAAGTTCATGAATATTCTGAAGATTGAATGTTTTTTACACCAATCTCATCATTGGAAGAATTTCCTCAAATAAAATTCCATGTTTAAAGACAGAATGTTACATATACACAGTGGCGAAATTTCACTGGAATACCATTTTGAAGGAGTAAGGAAATTCAATGTTGCCATTCACTAAGTTTGAGAAGTCAAGAAGGGTCAAGGAGAATAGTCATCTTATAGCAAGGGTCAAGCAAATGTTGCTAAAGCTTCTTAGATTAACAAGTTCCAGATTATAATACAAACCTTTGCATGAACTGCCAAGTTACTGACAGCTAATATTGGAGATCCATAAGCATCACAAGCAAAGTCAACCATGGAACCTGATGGATAACCCTCGTGCTTCTGCATTAGATTCCAGGAAATGTACAACAATTAATCAGTCAGTCAGTCAGTAATACACCCAAACTTGTAAGCTGTACTTTTGTGTATGCCAACATGAGTAGCAAGAATACAAATCGAATCTTTGAAGCAAATGCCCATTGTACTGCATACAGTATGACATGACGTGTGCTTTTTTTCAATTTTCACAATCTAGAGTATTGCGATTGTCAAAACGAAAATTTACCAGAGTTGATCAATTGTAACTATAATTGTTCTGATGCCATTAACTAGTTTTTTTCTATCCGGAAAATAACCAGTTCGTGGCAAATCAAGAGTAAACCTGAGAGAAAGTGGAAAGGATGCCGCGTAAGCTGTGATCGAGTAGGGTTCTGACTTCCTCAATCGGAGGCAGGCGAGCTGCTTTTTCCTACAAATTGAAAATTAACAAAAAAAATAATAATAAATCCAATACGAATCCCTTACATATAAATGGTAAAAATAGATGGAAACCTGATGAGCCTGGATGAGTTGAAAAACGTTATCATCGGGAGTGGATAAATTCTGTAGGAAAAAATACGGAAAAGAATGAAGAGCGAATAAATAATAGAGAGAATTGTAAAGTGAAATTGGGAAAAAGGAGAAACGTGATACTTGAGTTAAAGATTGAGAAGAGAAGGCCATGGATTGGAGAGAGAGACGACGCCGTATGGAAGGAGGTTGAGAAAGATGAAGTAATGGAGCGGGAGTGAGTATAATGGTAGTACTGGGAGAGAGGGTAGAAGGGAGGAAGCGTAGAGTGAAGGATGTTGGTAATGGTTGTAGAAGACTCTTCATCTCTTTCGTCACCAAACTGCTTGATTGATTGAAGAAATTGTTTTTCTATAAATAAAATAATAAGAGCAGGATTGGATTTGGCTCATACTGATTGGAAACCATCCCACCCTCTTTAATGTTTGCGACTTGGGGTGTGTGTAAGGTGTTTTTAGTAGATTTTTGCCAAGTCTTTTTCTTTTTTCTTTTTTTTTTTCCAATTCTTATTTACACAATATCTTCTTATCTTTATTTATACGAGTCGAATTGAACGTGCATTAAATGTTATTTTAAAATAGTATTGTAAAAATAATATTCCTTCTGTTCCATTTATAGACTGACTTTCGTTAGTTTCTTTTTTCAATTATATAGTCGTGTTTCTTTATTAAAAATATTTTGTTTTATTCATTTATTAATATACCATTATTTAAATTGTCTCATTATAACTAATTTTTTTCCATTTAATCTTGAAATTATATAGATATAAATAAGGGTAGACTAGAAAGGTTATTGGCAAAAACTGTCTTTTCAATAATATTAAATAAGATTTCGTAAATCGTGCGAAAAATAAAATCACCTTATATAAATGGAAAGGAGTGAGTATTTGATATCAATTTGTTGGGATGATATGATGAGTCTCAAACGAACTAAATAAAATAAAATTTATGATAGAAATTGAAGAGAAAAATTGTACTATCAAAACTCAACTTCTATAATTCAATTTTTTTGTGATGCTTAAATGCTACGAATAAGAAATATTTATATACTACATTTGGTATATAAGAATAAGAATTAATTACTAATACATGAATTTAAACACACATTAAATTCATAAATACATGAATAGAAATAAATTCATTTATAATAAATTTAAATTCATGTAGATCAAGATTCATTGATTCTAGATTTGTGTGAATATTAATGAATTGAGAATTAATAACACAAAATTCATACATGACAAGAATTTTGTAGTATTTATTACATATAGAAAAACGAAAAGTAAAGTATTATTGAAATAATTAAATTGTAGTAAAGTTAAAATCGTCCAAAAATGATTCTCACTTAATGTGATAAATATTCCCTATTTTTTAAAGAGATGTTATTTTATATATTTATTTTTGAAAAAAAAATTATATTGCCTTTTTATTTTTAGGTAAATTTGCTTGAACAAACAAAAATAAAAAATAAAAATAAAATATTATCACTCTAAACTAAATTCATCCACTAATATTTATTTATCATTTTATAATACTTACGACTTACAATTGTTTATATTTTAATTTAATCACTTTCCAAATCAAATGTTCGCTGAAATTTCTTATGTTTTCTATTTGTGTACACGATCATATCCTCAAATAATAATTTTTCGAAAGAAAAAGAACATAATCAGATTTAAGCTTGTTTGTTTAAACTTGCAAGTCAAATCAATATGTTCAACTCTTACATATATTGTTTCATAAGAGAACAACCACGGACCTATATAAATTATCTGTTAAGAAGTATAGGGTTATTTTATTTTATTATTTATTAAGAGTAGAATAGTCATTTCAATTTCATTTATTTAGCCTATATATAGTCTCTTTATTTCTAAATTAAATCATTATTTTGTATTCAATTGCATTATACAAAATTAATGAAACTCTAGCCTCCTTTTCATTTTCTTTATTTTTTGAAACATGGTATCAAAGCAGTTTCGTTCCTAAACAAATTAACCTTTGAATTTCGTTTCCGGCAAGCTACTCGTCCGGCTACCAATGTTGCTTTTTTATTTCTTAGTCCAATATCTCCCTTTCTAGTCATTGTTTTTCACGATTTAGATTTTTGAACACGTGAATTAACTATATATACCACATATATTGTATCTATATACTGTTGACACACAAAACAGGCATAAATAAAAAATAAAAAAAAATATATTATCACTCTAAACTAAATTCATCCACTAATATTTATTTATCATTTTATAATACTTACGACTTACAATTGTTTATATTTTAATTTAATCACTTTCGAAATCAAATGTTCGCTGAAATTTCTTATGTTTTCTATTTGTATACACGATCATATTTCTTATTTAAAAGAAATCCTCAAATAATAATTTTTCGAAAGAAAAAGAACATAATTAGATTTAAGCTTGTTTGTTTAAACTTGCAAGTCAAATCAATGTGTTCAACTCTTACATATATTGTTTCATAAGAGAACAACCACAGACCTATATAAATTATCTGTTAAGAAGTATAGGGTTTTTTATTTTATTATTTATTAATGGTAGAATAGTCATTTCAATTTCATTTATTTAGCCTATATATAGTCTCTTTATTTCTAGGTTAAATCATTATTTTGTATTCAATTGCATTATACAGAATTAATGAAACTCTAACCTCCTTTTCATTTTCTTTATTTTTTTGAATTGTTTAACATGGTATCAGAGCAGTTTCGTTCCTAAACAAATTAACCTTTGAATTTCGTTTCCGGCAAGCCGCTCGTCCGGCTACCAATGTTGTTTTTTTATTTCTTAGTCCAATATCTCCCTTTCTAGTTACTGTTTTTCAGGATTTAGATTTTTGTACACGTGAATTAACTATATATACCACATATATTGTATCTACATACATATGTGGTGTTTAGGGTTAGGGTTTTAATTGTTATAAAGGGGGAAGGAGTTAAATAAAATCATGAAGAGAGGCCACCGCATTCGCAAGGTGGCAAAATCGGATGGCACCTCCGTTGATTATGTCTGTGCTCCGACCGGACAGAGCTCCGGTCCTGTCTCTACCTCCAATGTTGTTGTTAACCATGCCTCTCGTGGTGGCCAGCCACCCGTTTCATCCCAATTGCAACAACTTCCTGCCACGACTGGAATGGTTCTTCTTCCCGGAACCATTGAGAATCTACCTATGTTCCGAGATGTCCCAGTTTCCGAGTGGCAGGGTTTATTCTTGCGGAAACTCCAAATCTGTTGCTTCTAATTTGATTTCTCGGATACCATTAAGATGGTGAGAGAAAAGGAGATTAAAAGACAAACCCTCGTGGAGCTTGTAGATTCTATTCAATCTGGGTCAAGTAAAATTTTCGAAACCAATCAAGAGGAAATGATACAAATGATATCTTTGAATATTTTCCGTTGCTTGTCCCCAGCCTCCCATGAAAACACAGGGTCTGAAAATATAGACCCCGAAGAAGAAGAGTCTTACCTCGATCCCTCTTGGCACCATTTACAGTTGGTTTATGAATTGCTATTGCGATATGTGGTTTCATCTGACACAGATACAAAGATTGCAAAATGATATATTGACCATTCTTTTGTGTTGAAGTTGCTAGATTTGTTTGATTCCGAGGATATGAGGAAGATGGAGTATTTGAAGACAATTCTGCATAGGATATATTGGAAGTTCATGGTGCATAGGCCACTTATTAGGAAGACAATAAATAATATTTTCTATCGGTTCATATATGAGACAGAGAAGTACAGTGGAATTGTAGAGCTTTTGGAGATTCTTGGAAGTATAATTAATGGGGTTGCACTGCCAATGAAGGAGGAGCACAAATTGTTTCTTGTGCAGGCTTTGATACCACTCCATATGCCCAAGCCAGTAGCAATTTACCATCAGCAGTTATCCTACTGCATTACTCAGTTTGCGGAAAAAGACTTCAAATTGGCAGATACCGTTATAAGGGATTTGTTGGAGTAATTGGGTCAATTATTTAATTGGTTTGATTTTATTGTAGATTGTTAGCTTGTGTGGGCTGAAAATTTTGATTTGGGCAATGCGTTTTGTTAGCTATTCAGTGCTTTGGTTTTGGGCCGCGAGAGTTGTTGTTGGTGACTTTTGTTCGGAGTTGGGTCTTTTCTCCTCTTAAGTTTGTTTAGAGTTTTTCTTTAAACTTTTGGTTATAGTAGGTAATCTGGAATTTGGTTTAGTATAGGCTCAGTTCAAGGGATTGAAAATTTGGTTTAGTATATGCCAGTTCATGAGATTGGAAATTTGGTTTAGTATATGCTCAGTTTATGGGATTGGAAATTTGGTTGGTTCACGGGATTGGGAATTTGGTTTGATACATGTCCAATTCATCTGGAATTTGATTTGGTGTTGGTTCAGTGTATTCGAAATTTGAAATTTGCATCCAGTTCATTTGGTATTTGTGGAGTTAGAATTTGAAATTTGCATCGATTTGGTTAGATTGGTGGATGATGATTTTTCATTTTCATCAATTTTGAATTCTTTGTTCTGCTTGGTTGACATATAAGCAATTTTGAAGATTTGATTTATGTAGACTTGCACTTTTTCCCTACGTTTTGTCTGTTCGTCGTTGCAGCTTGCTAACTTCTTCACGAAGTCACGTCCGGTTCATCGTTTTCGTTTCTTGCTTGGAAAACTCTCGATGCTTCTTGTAGCAGCATCATGAGTTTAAGGGGAGATGTTAAGAAGTAGGGTTATTTTATTTTATTGTTTATTAAGGGTAGAATAGTCTTTTCAATTTCCTTTATTTAGCCTATATATAGTCTCTTTATTTCTAAGTAAAATCATTATTTTGTATTCAATTGTATTATGCAGAATTAATGAAACACTAGCCTCATTTTCGTTTTCTTTATTTTTTTGGATTGTTTAACATTATCAATTCCCACTGGAAGAGCGATAGAGATAGAGAAGAACATGGCCACACTATATCCACAAAATATCATTCATTATTTTTTATTTTTCTTGCTAATGATGATCTTTGTCAATATATTTGTAAACAGAATATAATAGGAAGATGCTATGTGCAAAATAGGTGATTGCAATTTTTATAATTGTAGAAATTTATTAATCCTATATTATCTGCTGTTAGTACAAGAGAGAAAAAGTCTTAACTTTAGCCTTAATTATTTCTAGAGGTAAGTAATGTAATTTGTTGCAAAATAACAATGTTGAAATGTAATGGGATGAATATAATACTTTTTAAAAATTTTAAATTGTAATAAGAATAGATTTAGAGTGAAATAGATATACAAAAATTGTGTAGATATATAATGTTTAAATGAATGAATTTAATAAGGATAATTTTGAAATATAACGTGGATGAAAATAGTTTTTTTTTTCAAACTTGTGTACGTCACTTGGTACCTAAACATCAGTGCTTAGGAGATTAATTCCGTATATGTGTGCGCATATATATTCAACAAACATTTTCCTTCTTTTATTTTGTCGCAAATCCTCTTGGATGGTCCAAACTTTATGGATACAACTTTTTTTTGTGTGGAATACAATATTTTCTTTCATTTTCTTAATAAAACATTGTAAAATGTTGAATTTACCCTCTTCTTTAAATAAAATAAAAAGAAAAGAATAAAGAAAATTAATTGTAACCATAATTCCTAAATTTTCACAAAAAAAAAAAGTTCAAATGAGTCCACTGACAACAATTCTCTCTCTAGTTCTGATATTATTTTTCGACTATGAAACACTATATTGAGTTAGTTGGAACTTTTACTAATTGTTGTGTTGCTTTATAAGAGATGAAATTCATTCTATCATCAAAGACAATTGTTGATTGATTTTAAGTACCATAGAAGGGAGCAAATGCGTTTTAAAGACATATCGTAAAGTCGGTAGGCTTGAATTGATATTATGAGCATATTGATCATTTGGGTAACACTATTCAAATCCATTTCGATAATCTACAAATATAAATATCTTATGATTATTCCAAGTGAGAAATCAAAAACAAAAATTAATTTTAAAAATATTATTAGAAAAGAAGATAATAAAGAGATAAATGACTAAACATGGTAGTATCTAAGTTGGAACGAGATGCGTTACTGGCAATTGAGTTTGGCCGTTGATCCTCTTTATATTATCTATATTTAAGGGAAAATTGCAGTCACGGTACCAAATCTTTCATTTAGTAGCAAATTTTGTCCAACTCTTTCATTTGTGCCACCGTCAGTACCAAACCTTTAAAAACTCGCAATTCAAATCTAAATTGACGAATTTCGTTAGTTTGACCTTAGAAACTGACAATTGACCCCAGAAATTGAAAAAATAGTAATTCCAAAATAAGCTTCGGGTATTTTGAACATAATACATTTCTCATATTAAATAAAAAACAAAATCACATCCCACCCCATCTCCTTCTTCCCCAACCCCCTCATTACCCAAAACCAACCAGTTGCCGACCGCCACGCCATTGCCATCGCCATCTCCAACACCAACGCCTTTACCACCTAAATTTATAGGTTATGTGACATCTACAAAATCTTCATCTCCAATCCATCTAATGGTCACCCTCTTCAACCAAAAAACTAGCAGCGGCTCGAAATTGGAAGTGCATTTTTTGATGAAATTGACCGGCAACATTGACACCCTAGGGGCTTTAGATGATTCAGAATTCAACGGTGGTGGTGCCATTTGGTGGGTCCCGCTCAAAGTGGCCAAATTATGGATCTTGGAATTTGCACCCATAGCAAGTTTGGTGCTCAAATTCACTGGAATTTCTTCAACAATTGGATCAATTGGTTCCCTACCCATTGTTGACTAGCTTTGAATAAGATTTTGGCTGCTCGATTTGGTAGATTAACGTCGTGCGACCCTTCAATTGAAATAGAGAAGCATATGTGCATTGTTTTGGTCGGTGCTCAATTCCCAAGGGGAAGTTACTGCGTTGTTTTGGCCAAAAATTGTTCCATGAAGTTGGTTGCCGTGTGTAGGGGGTAAAAGGGTGGTGGTTGGCAACCATCAAATTAACCGGAGGTGGTGCATTTTGGAAGTAGGCCTTGTGCAACCTTTGATGAATTTTCATTGGTTACTTCGTAAATTGGTAATGTTTGTGCGGATGGTTTGTTGGAGTGTGTCGAGGGGGTTAAACCACCGGTATGAGGGGCAATTTCTGGTGGCTTAGGCAACGGGTTGAAGTTGTTTCGAAGGTGGTGAATGGGTTGGTAAAGAATTAGATGTGGGTAGGTTGTGATTTTGTTTTTTATTTTTTAAAATTTTTTATTTAATATGAGAAATATATTATGTCCAAAATACCCTTAGTTTATTTGGGAGGAATTATTAAATTTTTAATTTCTGGGGTCAACTGACAGTTTCTAAGGTCAAAATAACGAAATTCATCAATTTGGACTTGAAATGCGATTTTTTTAAAGGTTTGGTACCTACGGTGGCACAATGAAAGATTTGGTAGGCTGAAAATTTCCCTATATTTATGTTAAAATAATAACAAAGCCTCAAATTTTAGCATGCTTAAATATAATCAGAGTTTAATTTCATTGGACAACTTTTAATGCCACTTTTGATGTAATAAATGAATCGTATTTGGTAGAAAATGTCAAGATAAAGGGAAAGCGAGTAAGCAACAATTGCAGTTGTCATGCGGAAGAATAGATCATCCAAGGTTTTTTTGGGCTTAGTAATTACCCAAGCAATTAACACAACAAAGAAAACCAACCCAAAACTTTCAATAAATCTCTACTTTGGTTGCTTCGATCTTGCCCACAAAGAACATAGAATGAGAGTGTGTTTTGCAGCCACACAGGCAGTCATGAAGGCAAAAAATGAGGAAGAAAACGGTAAGCTCAAAATCATAGAGAAGGCAACCATTCTTTTCTCTCAAAAGGAAGAAGTGAATAACATACTAACACAGCAAATGCAACGGAAGGACAACATATATAGGAAACCATTAGGGTAATAATGGGCCAAGCCCAATATGGATAAGTGGGTTAAACATAGCACTAAGTGGCCCGTCACCGAAAAGTCGTCCAAGAAGTAGAGAAGTAGACC